TTAGGTCAGTGTAGATCGAAAGAAAAGGAATTGTTCACTCTGGATAAAACAAAGTGTCCTCCAGAATCCGAACACGAAACATGACCACACTGCTGTGCACTGGGGACAACAGAGACAAGAAGAGATCATTTTGAATGCCAGGCATATTGTTTGAGAAAAAAGATGTAGGGCGCTAACCCTAAGAACAGCACTGACACTGACTACCCTGAACCTGAGGAGCCTTACCCGGATGACCCTGACCCTCACGACCATGACCCTGACCCTATACCTAACCCTAACTGTTCCTGTCAGGCTTCAGTGCAGGTGAGAGAACATTTTGAACTGGTGGCGAACTGATTGAGAAAAAGATGGGCAACCCTAACCCTAACCCAACCTTCCCACCCCCTCCCCTTCCCACTTCCCTCTCCCTCTCCCTCTCCCTCACAGGTGGGAAGAGAACATTTTGAACCTGTGGCAAACTGTTTTGAGAAAAAGATGCGCAGCCCTAACCCTGCCCCTAATCCTCACCTTACCTCAGAATCGGGACTGAAGGTGATCTGCCAAGTGTTTCATAGTGTCAGGGATTTATTTTTGAAAATCAGTTATTTTGGCAATAACTGATATTTCTTATTCACGCAAACACAGAATTCATAAATCCTCAAGAACATACACCTCACGCTCTCGTCAGCCAGGTCTCCTCTACTCTGAGCTGCTGCAGTCACTTGTTTACCCCAGAGCACCTCTTGCTGACAACCGAATAAATCATGGGGCCTATCAATAACGTGTGAGTACTGTTCCACTACTGTACAGTTATGATAGAGATATCAGTGTTAACAGAGAAAAGGAGTGTGGCATAAACAGGATTCTCATTCCTTATTCCTGAAAAATCTATTGGAGCATTAATGTCATTGTCAGGTCTGTAAAAGTGCTTGGGCCACAGACCTGGAAAAAGATTTGCAAAACATGACTGTGATATAATCCATGTTTTAGAATGTGCCTGGAATCCTTAAAATTCAACAAGGGACAATAACTTTTTAAAAATTGAGTGGAACTCTGAACAGTTTCCGAAGAAGCTGTATTGATG